AGACTATGGACTCTGAGAAACAAACTGAGGGTTCTAGAGGGGAGGGGGGTGGGGGAATGGGTTAGCCTGGTGATGGGTATTAAAGAGGGCATGTACTGCATGAAGCACTGGTTGTTATATGCAAACAATGAATCATGGAACACTACATCAAAAACTAAGGATGTAATGTATGGTGATCAACATAATATAATAATTAAAAAAATAAAAAAATAAAAAATAGGCGGAATTAGTTTACCTGATTCTAGACTTATTATAAAGCTACAAAAATCATGACTATATATTACTGACAGAGGGACAGATACATAGATTAATAGAACAGAAACGAGAAACCAGAAATAAGCCCACACAAATATGCCTAATGGATTTTTTTAAAGATTTTATTTATTTGAGAGAGAGAGAGAGCACACGTGCAAGTGGGGGATGGAGCAAAGAGAGAGGGGCAAGCAGAGTCTCTGCTCAGGGCAGAGCCTGGCAAGGGGCTCAATCCCATGACCCCCAGATCATGATCTGAGCTGAAATCAAGAGTCACACGCCGAACTGACTGAGACACCCAGGCAGCCTATCTGATTTTTGATATAGGTGCAACTCAATGGAGGAAAGACAGCCTTTACAATTGTACATCTATAGAGAAGGGGGGGGGGGAATAACATCAATCTAAGTCTCACACCATTGAGGAAAATTAGGTAAAGGGTATATAGGATCTTTCTGTATTATTCCTCAAAATTGCATATAAATCTATAATTATACCAAAATAGAAAGTTTAATTTAAAAAATTTTTAAAGAATTTAGTCAGCTCTGTTCCTTGATATGGCTATGTATAGATGGATAGAGAAGTCTGGAAGGAAGAACATTTAAAAAAAGGAAGAATTCAGTGTTTATGACTCAAACCCTGCAGAATCAGCTCTTACCTGCAGCAAAGCTCCCATTAGTGATGCCAATGCAGCCATTCCAATGCACAGAGCTCCAAACAGCACACCTAGATGGATGATATAAAAGCCAGTGTAAAATTCAGACCCAGAGGATTAGAATTCTCAATAGAATAAGCTACCCACCTTTGATTCAAAGTAATTAATATGATTGTGGTGAAAAATGGCCACATACATCAGAGCCAGCCAAAAAAAGGGAAGGAGTGTTTTCCTACAGGATCAGCAGTGTGCAAAGGGGAAAGAAAACTCTGATATTGTGTCCTGGGATTAGTGACAACATTAGGTTATATAAATAAAAAAATCCCTAGCATTAACCATAGGGACTTTAAAGCTTAGAACTATTGTGTCATTAATCTAATCCTCCATACACATTTGTTTATAAAGGAAGGCTTAGGTCTCTTTCAGTTTGCCAGAAACGGGGCACAGTCCAGCTCTGCTCTGTATACGTGATGCGGAAGGGGAGTAATAAACATCAGAAATTAGAGTCATCTGATTTGAAGTATTCATTTCTCCTGGGAAGTGACAATCCACACCAAGGGGTGGTTTAGGACCTTTAACCCTCTTGTAATCTCCATCAACATCCCCAAGCCCTTCCTGTTAAACTAGCAAAGAAAGATAGTATCAAGTATGATATTACCCATTCTACAAATTGTTTTTCCAAACTTTATAGAAATTCTCAAGCCACCACTGCTGGTCAGATTACAAATTATAGAACTTTTTTTCTCTTTTGGCTTTCAGTACTTTCCAGATTTTCTCCAAATACATTTTTTAAATAATTCTTATGACTTGTTTGGTTAGTAATATTTTTTTATTATGTTATGTTAATCACCATAATTACATCATTAGTTTTTGAGGTAATGTCCCATGAGTCATTGTTTGCATATAACACCCAGTGCTCCTTCAGTACGTGCCCTCTTTAACACCCATCACCAGGCTAACCCATCTCCCCACCCCCCTCCCCTCTAGAACCCTCAGTTTGTTTCTCAGAGTCCATAGTCTTTCATGGTTCATCTTCCCCTCCGATTTCCACTCCCTTCATTTCTCCAAATACATGTTTTACTTTTTAAATTATAGGAAAATTTACACACATGCCCCCAGATTTTTATTTTTGAAGATTTCCATTTAGCACAAATCACCTGAAATCAGTCAATATAATTTACCACACACAAAAATCAAAACACAAAAAAGGAATGATAAATTTGCTCATAAAATTAGTGCATTCCTTATATCTATCTAATTTACACTAGCACTCACCCCTTTGTTAAGGGTAAATAACCTTATTGCACCTGAATGGAAACCTTACATTAAATTTGTACATAGAGCTCATGTTGCAATGATTTTTTTTATGCCTCCAAATCCTAATGTAAATAGTATTTCCAACATATTTAGCTTGAGTCTTCTCTATCTGATAGCTCATAAATGGTCACCACTGTGGGTTTTTGGTATTCAAAGTTGATGGAAACACATACAAATTATTTGCCATGTTCTTCTCGATGATGTCCTTACTGTACAGACCTCAAAATAATGACTTTATATAACCCTTCAAAGTAAATGAAAACCTCATCTATACTAGCAGAGTTAATTTGTTATTAATGATCATCAACATCCTTCCTTGACCACCAGCTAGTGCTTCTTATTTTATATGTATTATCTCTAAACCTCATAGTACCTGCAAGATGAATATTTGTTGTAACATTTTTCATACAAAAAATTCAAGCTGTATTGGGTTATTGGGTTTGTTTGAGATTAGTAAACTGGTAAAGCCTGACTGGGTCTGTCTGGCTTCAAAAGCTTCTATTTAAAAGCATATAGCTTCAATAATCCTATAATGAATCAATCTAAATACTCTTTAGGAAGAATTGTATTATTCTGAAATTATGCTCCAGGATTAAAATTGGGCACATAATAAGATGATGCAATGTTATTTAAATTCAAGGAACACTGAAGAATATAAATTAAGTATTTATTCCAGGCTATCATTAAGACAATTACATATAGAATTGTGGTTCAAAATAGAATATTATTTACTGTTTCTTTGACAGTCTAGTGTTAACTGGGTTGAAGTTAAACATTTTTTTTCAAAAACAAGTTTGTTAGTCATTCATTCCAGAACACATATAACCAAAATGTCAAACACAAAGAATGAAGTACACTAGCCAGATTTCTTTGGGTCAGATTGTTATATTTGGGGTATCTGGGAACTGGGGTCTTTTACCTTTCCATTCACCTGATATTTAACCCCTAATAAGGTCCTACAATCTATCAATAGAAGTTGAACATTCCTTGTACAATTTAATTGACTATCTCCAGGGCAGTCTGCGTGTACAAATAGAATAGACAATAAAGATGGGTCAAAAATCACAACACTGTTTCTTTATCTTCAATTCATACATACAGACTATGTATTCTATTTTTTTGGCTTAGGCTTTTTTTTATTTAATTTTTTAAAATTTAAATTCAATTAGCCAACATATAGCACATCATTAGTTTCAGATGTAGTGTTCAATAATTTATCAGTTGTGTGTAAATCCCAGTGTTCTGTACTTTAAACTGACAGTGCCCTCTTACATAATTAAGAAGAAGTGTGGCTCTTGGCTCCAAACTAAGGGTATTTCTTAAAACTGTTGGCTAAAGTTTGAAAAGGAAAAGGGTTGAATTTTTTTCTGTGGCTAAGAATTTTAACATAGATTTGGGAAAGGAAGAAGTGAGAAAAGGAAGACAGCTAAATAAGGACCACTGAAAATATGTTCAACATCACTCATCATCAGGTAAACAAATCAAAACCACAATTAGATACCACCTCACACCCGTCAGAATGGCTAAAATCAACAAGACAAGAAATAACAGGTGTTGGCAAGGATATGGAGAAAGGAGAACCCTCCTACACTCGTGGTGGGAATGCAAACTGATGCAGCCACTGTGGAAAACAGTATGGAGATTCCTCAAAAGTTGAAAATAGAACTACCTTGTGATCCAGCAATTGCACTACTAGGTATTTATCCAAAGAATACAAAAATGCTGATTTGAAGGGATATATGCACCTCAATGTTTATAGCAGCATTGTCTGTAATAGCTAAATTATGGAAACGGCCTAAGTGTTCATCAGCTGATGAATGGATAAAGAAGATGTGGTACATATATACAATGTAATATTACTCAGCTATAAAGAATGAAACCTTGTCATTTGTAATGACATGGATGGAGCTAGAGTATATAATGCTAAGTGAAATAAGTCAGTCAGAGAAAGACAAATACTATATGATTTCACTTGTATGTGGAATTTAACAAACAAAACAAACAAGCATGGGGGAAGGAAAGAGAGAGGCAAACCAAGAAACAGACTCTTAACTATAGAGAACAAGCTTTTGCTTACCAGAAGAGAGGTGGGTAGAGGGATGCATGAAATAGGTGACGGCAATTAAGGAGTACACATGTTGTGATGAGCACCAGGTATTGTATGGTAGTGTTGAATGACTGAAACTAATATTACACTGTATGCTAATTAACTGGAATTTAAGTTAAAACTTAAAAAGAAATAAGGACCTCTGAAAATTAATTGCTTGAAGTGTCTTTCAAATCTTGATTGCAAATATGGCATAACTGCATTTAGTCACAGACATGCATATGTATATGTACATTTACACTTGAAGGTTCTTACTCTGTATCTTCCATGGAAAAGATTTCTGGTATTTCCAAAAGCCATCTCCTGGAGGTAAAAAGGAATTGTGAAAATGGAAACTTACTCATTCCTTGGGAAATCCAAGAGAGAGATCTTTCTGAGAGCGATCTGAAATGAGGTTTAATTAGATCTTCCACAGTTACTGCTGCTAAAGCATTAATACTGGAGGACACTGTGCTGTAAGAAAAAAATCAATCTTTTGATTTATAATATTTTAACTTTAATAATACTTTAAGTAGGAATAAGAAAGGGGGAAACAAACTGTCATTTCTGAAATATAACCAGATTTCTACTATATTTTAATGATCACAACATCCTCTTTCTGGAAGCTGTTATCATCCAAGAATGATTCAGGTAACATCCATAGGCTTAATAGTGAGAAAGCAATTTTATGTTGCTTCTGCTTTGCAATAAATCCTCAGTGTCTATGGAAAGAATCTACACAGACTACATAGTACTACTATATAATGACTTCTTTGTGCATCGAAAGTACTGTCATAAATCCTCACAAACATATGCCATTAATATCAATAATATTAATTTCCTGGATCCTTACTAACATACCCTGTACATGTTAATAATAAGAATTCCCTGGGCGCCTGGGTGGCTCAGTTGGTTAAGCGACTGCCTTCAGCTCAGGTCATGATCCTGGAGTCCCAGGATCAAGTCCCACATCAGGCTCCCTGCTTGGCAGGGAGTCCTTCTCCCTCTGACCCTCCCCCTTCTCATGCTCTCTCTCTCTCTCAGATAAATAAATAAAATCTTAAAAAAAAAAAAAGAATTCCCTGGCACAAACACTGGAAGAAAGTGCAATGAATAAGTTGAAACAGAACAAGATTCTTTGGACAGTGTATATTATTCAGCACATAATAGGAGATTTTAATTATAATTTTCCATTTGACCATGCTTTAGCTATACATACATTTTAAACCAAGACTATAGGCACCCATTTTTGATAATCAGTGAGAACTACCATCAACTGATCATTATTATGGTGACCCTACAGAGTATGCGATGATGTATTACAGTAGAGACCAAGTTAAAAGTGGAGACTGAGGATAAGAGACTGATAGTCCACATGGATAAAAGTGAGACCAACAGAGAGGATACATGGAGTAGATTACCCACTTTGGGCCATTTGTGCTCATGTCCAGAATTCAGCTTTATCCCCCAAAATATCCAATAACAAAAGAAAGATCCCAACAGGGAAACCATGTGTTGTTAGAGTCATAGTTCATACCTTAATGTTCCACTGTAAGCACAGGCCACAAAAAGTCCAGGAAGTCCCGGAAAATCTTGCAAAATGTCCAGTACCAAATAAGGCATGAGCTGAAAAATTCCAAAATTTACTTCTGAGTGCTATTTGCTATCAAATAAAATTAATTAATGCCTCATTTATCTTGTGTTCTTTAAGAACTAAAGGAACATATTCCATATAATTGAAATTTCCAAATATGAAAAATCAAATTCTTTTATTGCTAACACTTAAAAGAATAGCAGAGTAGTTAAGGATACAGGGTCTGGATTCAGACAGAAGTGGTTTTTGTCACTTCTCTAAGACTCAGTTCCCTCATCTGTAAAGTAGGGATAATAATACTAACCTCATAGACTTGCTATAAAAGTTAAATTACATCATCTATGTAAGGTTCTTAATATAGTACATGGAATATTGTAAATGCTTGATCAAAGGTAGCTGTTCTCATTCTTTGGAACAATAAATCAATTTAATGGAAATATTTTACATACCTCTATGCTTACATAATAAGAAGCACTCACTTAACTTTACTTGATGACTCAAAGTTCAGCTTTGAGAACGTTAATCACTACCCAGGACTGAAAGTGTAATTATAGTTGCATATAGTATGAGATATAGTGATAAGTGGAGAGTAAACTTGCGAAGTTCCTGAAACTTGCTTCTTTTTAAAAAGTTCCTGATACCAACTTACCTTTTGATAAGTTACTTTTTAAAAAATAAATATTCAATAAGGATGGGAAAGTGTATTACTTCAGTACTATGTCACATGACAGTCTTTTGGCAAAACTGATTTTTAAATCAAGAGGGTCCTAAGAGGATAATTTTCTAGAAAAAGTCCCCTCACTTGCACTGAAACAGTCTTGAGTCCTTCTCCGATAGTATAGAGTGGATGTCATGTCCTCGCTTATCAGCCTCTTCTGATTTCACTTGACAATAGTTTGTTATGGGATGTTGAAGAACATCCTCCACTGTGGCAAGGGTCTGTGTTGAGTTGTTTTAAGAATGTCTCCACTTTATCCAAAGCTTACTAATTTTTTATTCTCAGAAAGAGTGAATAGAACTTATCTCTATGAAATCAAGTTCCAGTTTTCCCAAGGTATCTTAAAGGTGTAACTTCAAGCAGTATTCCATACATAAGCAAAAGTCAAAGTTCCCATTGTTACTGCGATAACAAGATCTAAAATCCTCTACCCTAACATCAACTTTCTCAAAAGTCTTTGGTGTGATATTTCATATTCTGAGTGGCCCCCTCAGGTATAGGTCGAACCAGCAAGGTGAGACTGATAGATAGAAAAATAGTAAAACTCTATCTAGACACTAATCTTGCTTCCTCAGGGTGAGCTCCAGCAGTGTTGCAGAAATATATTTTTGCTCTCCTTGGGTTAAGATTTTGACCTGACTTTCTACTACTGTGCCTTATGTGCACTGTATCCCTAGGGAAATGTTAATGAATTAACTTCTCAATCAACATAATACCAGAATCATCCAATTAGGAGGAAACCTCTTTCTTTTTAAAAAATTTAGCACAGGCTCTCTAAAGGTGCATGCATGCAAGACACCACTGAATGCATTCTATGACAAGGAGTCTCAAGGATAGGAAGTTGTAGATATTTTTTGTTGTTGTCTAGGGATAGGGGAAGATATATGAGAAATATTTTTAACATCCCTATTATCTTCATGATATAAACTACAGACAAAATATTCTTCACTAGAGAGAATATAAGGGAAGAGTGCCTCCATCTTCAGAGTAAACATGATTATTAGATTTTCTGAGCAAATAGGAAAGATCTATTTATTAATAGGAGGACACATGTGAATACAGGGTTGAAATGCACAGCTCAAGGAGGTTCTCATTTTCTAACCCCGCAAAGTTGCATTTTTTTCTGGAAGTGTGTGATGCATTTATGTCAGCATAAATTTCAATCTATCTTCAATGTAATGAGTACCCTGGGCACTTGATTTACAAGCAAGTCTTAGAACATAATTTTGGCAAGAACTCAAGCTTCTGAGTCTAACACTGAATTCTAGCTATACTTTCTGAAAGGTGGTATATGGCATAGAGGTTCAAAGTTAGGACCCTGGGGGCGCCTGAGTGGCTCAGTCATTAAGCATCTGCCTTCGGCTCAGGTCATGATCCCAGGGTCCTGGAATTGAGCCCTGCATCGGACTCCCTGCTCCGCGGGAAGCCTGCTTCTCCCTCTCCCACTCCCCCTGCTTGTGTTCCCTCTTTCGCTGTGTCTCTCTCTGTCAAATAAATAAATAAAATCTTTAAAAAAAACCCCAAAAAATAAAAAACAAAGTTAAGACTCCAGTGGCAGACTCCCTGTGCTTGAATTCTGGTTCTAGGTTTACTAGCTATTACATAGTTTGTCTGTGCCTCAGTTTCCTCATCTTTGAAAGGGAGATAATTATAGCACCTACCTCAGTGTATAGCTGTAAGGATTCAAAGTTGAAGTTTATATAAAGCACTTATGACAGTATGATGAATGCTTGCGGCTATACTTATTTATCAGCTATGTGACCTTGAGCAAGTAATATAATCTCTCTGCAAGTCACTCATTTCCTCATCTCCAAAATTAGATTTACCAGGTTATGAGAATTAAAAGAGATAAAGCATACAAAGTTCTGGGCACAGAATCTCACCACATAGTTGGTATTCAATAAATGTTCACTCATTAGATCTGTTTCTCTATCATTTAAAAACTGGAAGGTAAACTGTTGATAAAAAAGTGATCTAAGAATACCCACAAAATATTTTACACTACCATGGTTTGCATATGATTTTTTTTTTCTTTAACTGTGTTCACATTTCTACTCCCAGTCTTGACCTAATTCTATTTAACAATTGGCTTGAAATGTTCCAGGTATTTCAGTATTTTAATCTTGGATACAGCATTCTTCATTCTTGCTGTATCTGCTAAAATAAATTTTTGCCAAATGCTTTTGAGAAATTAAAAATGATTATTTTGTTCTCATTTGCTGTTTCTCTACAAAAACATGAACACTCTTTCCTCCCAACTAATCAGCTTTCTGGATAACATTAATGCACATGTAAGAAAGACACGGTACTGAACCTGGTCTGGTGCAGATACTTTCTTGGCTGTCCAAGGATCACAGTCATGGTACCTGGAATATAGGGCAAGCCCACATAACACTGAGCAGGCGAGGATTGCCCAGAGTCCCAGAAGATTGATGTAGAGAGACCTAAGGAAGTGAAAATAAACCAGCAAATGTCAATTGTAATTTCCATCCCAAAGATTAGGAAACTTGTTACACAAACAGAAGAGAATTTCATGATTACTCAATAAATGCACATTATCTTTTGGTTATCAAAAATGCTATCTGTTTTAGTCTAGACTAACCTTCTGCTTATGCTGTCAATCAACACTGTATTTGGAAATACTTGGAATAGATGGGGGATTCTCTATTGAATAAATGTATCCTCCTGGTCAGAGTTCCACGGGCATTGTCAGCTTTATAATGGTATCCAATTAAACTACTTCAGGTCTTCTTGTCATTAAATAAGGATTTTTTAATGGTCAACAGAGCAGTAACTATTATTCATTTTCCTTTTAAAAGTAATGCAGTTATAGACTGCTAAACATTGTTAGCATCTACATAGAAACTCATTAAACTTGTTTAAATGTGGTTTGTAATATCACCTAATAAGTATGAGAGGTAAACCTGCATTCCTTGAACAGGTATCTTCCCAAACAATGTTCAGCATCATAATACATGGTGTGTGTTCCAGGAGATTGTAAAGGTTTATATAACAGCACTGGCGTCAGACCTGAACATAAATATTGGTTCCATCTACCATATGTGACCCCGGGCAAGTAATTTAGCTTCTCTGATCTTCAGCTTCTTCATGTACACCTATAGATAACGATGCCTACCTTGCAGAATTTTAAGATTAAGTGAAATAGTATGTATCATATACACAGTGCTTGGCATGTAATAACATTTGTTAAATGGTAATTATTGACATTATGAGTGCTAATGGCATTGAGTTCTATGTCTTAATAATCAGTTGAATAGTAAACATTGTTCTCACTAAGGTGTCTACATTTTTTTCCCAGGAGTGCTGTAGTGGATATTTTAACAAGCTGCCCTAGGCTGAAGAGAGGTACAATCCCCAATGTCATGCCTCCTTCCTTGGGGCACCTGTGTCCAATGACTACTGGATTCAGAATCTTAAAAACCAGTCTCCTTGATGTAGAGAGACCTAAGGAAGCCCTAAGGCCTTGGCTGAGAATGCATTACAATCCAACTTCTCTCTTGGGCCAATTCAGCTTCCTTCTCTTCTCTTTCTTCTACAGGTGGTGATTGCCTCACAGACTCTGGAATGCCAACCTCCATCTCAGAGTCTGTTTCAGGAGAACTCACCTTCAACAGGTACCAAACAACAGATTGCTAGCCTTTTCCCTTGATTGACTAAATTTACTGTATGTTTTGCTATTGACTAAAAATAGTATAAGTAACTACAGCTCATCTCCAAATCATCAGAAAATATACCCAGACACTTTCCTGCTCAAATCCCCTTGTTCATATATGAGGTTAATACTTTATTATATAGTTTTATTAACTTTAGTGCCACTCAAATAGATCACTTATCAATAACATCTGATACTGTCCCCAGTCAATCAATGTCAGTAGGTTTTAACTTTTTGACTGGGATTCATTCTTCCTATGGAGCCAGTGTTAAAATGTAGGAGAAAATGGTTCCTCTCAGCGCAGGGAGTCTGCTGAGGGCCATTCCAAAGGAAATTGCTTCTTATTAAGAAAGGTCTAAAGCTCTAATGTTGGTCTCTTAGTTATAAAATTGGGCCTTTTGAGTTTCATGTTCCCAAAGAAACAGAAGAGCATATGCACAATTAATTTTGAAGAAGCATCAGCTCTAATATAGATTTAAAGTCCAGTGGATTATTGGATGGATAAATTACATTCCTTCAAAGTTCCTCAAAATACCAGAACTCCTAAGCTCACTTTTGGGGATTCTATATCCAGTTACTGTGCTGATATTTGTGTAGATCTTTTACTATGGAATTTTCCAAAGACAGATAATGTCTAAACAAATTTACTCTCAATATATTGAGTTTCAACATGTGACATCACAATATTTTCATGTTCTTCTTTGAATAGAAATAGAATTGCCATTCCTTGTCCTACTCCAACCACCCTGTTACTCTTAATCTATTTATAATTTTTAAGTTCCTAAATGCATGTGGGTCCAGTCAGCTTTATTTATCAGCATAGGGAGTGGTGGTCACCACACTGATCTGAGGCCTCCTGAGAAAGAACCAGCCACCGCTCATACTCTTTCCTCAAGCCAAGATGAGCTTGACCATGTATGTCATCCTTCTGACCTCTGGGCTGTGTCCAAATCAATGTCTATCTGGAACTCTTTCCCACTATTCTCCACCTGCCCACATATGGTCATTATTCAGGATCTGCTTGGTTGACAGGAATCTCTCACCCATTTTCTGCCTTCACGTCCTATGATTTGAGGTCACATTTATTGGATCCCTACCAAGTATTTGTAAAGCATAATATTTTACAATACCTCTCATGAGATGTATAATATTTCTTATGCTCGATTTATAAGTTTAGAAACTGAGATTCAGGGAGACTAAGTAACTAGCCCATTCAAATAGCAAGTATTAGAGCAGAGTTATAAACCCATGACTGTGTCTGAAAATAAAATATACCAGCACATCTGGCAATATAATGTCCTTGACTATTTATTCTATCATTATATTGTTCCATGGGACTGTCATACCTTTCTAGTGTTATTTCACTTTTTGCATACTTGTATATATTTTCCTAACTAGATGTTAAGTTCCTTCATTATAAGAGCCATATAATTCTAGTTTTTATCCTCCATAACTCCTTATACAAATAGATACACAATAAATGCCTTTTTATTTAATAAGATTTATTTTACTTAATAAATCATATAAATATTTCAAATATCTGATTTAAAATATAAGTACCACTTTGTTTTACTTGATCCTTTTATAACGAAGTATATCATTTATTTCTTGGAATTTCATGATACAAAAGGCTTAAACCTGAACAAAGCTTGACTAATTAACAAGTTTCAATAAAGACAACTGATAGTTATTAATGATTTCCATACCATAGTTTGGCTTACATTTTTGCCTGGAATCTGCTTTTACAGGAAATATATCTCTGCACTTGGGATTGGTTGACACCATAGATGCTGGTCCATGTGAATGTCCCTCCTATAATAATTGTCCAGAATGTATGTCTTTGCAAAGGACTGGGATCAAAACTAAATGAAAAGAAACAGAAAACAAATTTTAACTATCAGTAAAAAACTACAGAAAATTCTCCTAGAATATTTTTTGGAAGCAAGCAATGTATATCTATGTAAATATGTATACAGATATAAATATGTACAAATTTATTAAATAACAAAAAAGGCAGAAATATTCCTAACTTAAGTTCAATGAAATAAAAATGGATACTTTCAGAGAATTGGAAATTCTGGATGGGATTGAAGAAAAATGAATGTTCTAATTATTCTGAGCTTTCATAAAAATTGTTCTCCTGTGGCCTTAGGAAACTGTTATTTAAACAAGTCTGCTACGCTGTAATCAGAGAAGAGCATGAAACTAAAAAGAGAGAGAGCAATAAAGAGAGTAAAGTTCCTAAGTGCATCAGAGCAATAGATATGGTACTGAAATGAACACAAAATTGACACATTTTGCATATATAATTTCTCTCCTAGCACATGTACAGTCATATTTCTAATTTATATTCAAGCTCAAGAACTCAGTCAATTAATGCAGTTTAAAGGCTTTCATCTTCTAAAATTACCATGTCATTATAATCATGCTTTCTTAAAATGCTGTGTGCACAAGTTAAATGCTAATAGTGAAAAGTCACTTTATGACATGTACTTAAATCCAAAATATTGCTACAAAGAAAGCTGAACTTCTGTATTTAATATTTCTTTTAACTCTTCTTAATGCATTATCTTGGAAGGAATGATTCTATTCATCCATGATATACAATATGAGTTTGACAAATTTCTGCAAAATTGGCTTTCATAGAAACTTACTAAAAATTATGAAATTCTGCAAATCCATTTCAATCTTATATTTAAGATTAGTTGAGTAAAGTGTTCTGATTTCATGTATATCCCAGCAATCCTATGGACATATAAGAGCCTCTATTCCATTCTTTAACACTTCATATCAAAGTTTAAGTGTTTCAAGGGTGTTGACCATTTAACGCATAGAGAAAACAGCTACTATATTAGCTAATGGAAGTCAAGAGACAAAAGGATTCAGGAATCTACTTGAGGGAAGTAAGACAAGATTTAGAACACCCAGTTTAGTGGTTTTACGCCATACAGAATATATAAGACAGCTACAGACCATACAGAAAATACCAACACAAAATCCTTCTCTTGGTTTATCACCACCAGAGCAGATATTTTGCCCACCATATTCTCAAACATATCAGACTCACAAGGGATATACAATAAGGCTTTTCATTATTATTTAATGGTTGGCAGCCTCCAAAGTAAAAGTCACAAAACTGTCTACTCTTTTACTTTTAAGAATCTCTTATTGGTGTACAAGTTGTCACTTCAGTGCAGCAATATGGATTGCCTTTGTACAAAGTGACAGTTATCTTGCAGAAAAATGATTGGTTCCATACCCTCTCCCTTCAATCTCGCCTACTAGGAAATTTAGGAGTAATCAAGATCTTCTGAGTGGCCACTGGTTGTTTCTGCTTTTTGGTATCCATTCTCCTGACCTCTAGTAACAGCAACCCAATTTACTTTGGGGAAAAGACCATTTCACCATAAAATAGTCTAAATGGTTGTCAATAAAATGTCCTGCTCCGCCCCTACTAAGGGATGGAATAATGCCCAAGCTAGGACAACTGGAGGTGCTCTTCCTTGGAATCTGAATCTTGAGGTTAAAAAAAAAAAAGATTATTGAAAATAGTTGAAGTTGATTCATCATAATTCAACTTATCTCTGCAAATTAACACATTGTCCCTGTCCAATTTCTGAAAAGGCTCTTCTCAAACATTAGCACCATTTTCAGAAAACTAGAAGAGAGTCACCAAGTAAGAAATTTTTTTTCTTTCTTCTTGCCAGTGATTCAGCTTGCCTGTCTCAAAGTAGGACTGCTTAAAGAGGAAATAAGCCAGTCCATGTCAAAATGAGCCCCTCCCCATATTGAACATGATAACAAGAATGACACTACTGATCCACAGTGGAAGGTGTTTTAAATATTCTTCTAAGTTGTGTGGTATATATGTGATAAAATATCTAGCTTCTCCACTGGTCTTTCTCTAGGAAACCTATTTAAATAGCTGTTTAAAATATGCTATATCATACAATATACTGACACTTTAGTCATTAGTCATAACTTTCTAGTCAATCCTCTAGAAATAATATAGAGTATTACAAAATATTTATATACAGTATCAATAGAAAAATTCTCTAGGCTACTTGAAACAAAGAACTGTCAAAATGACAGCATGGCCCTTTAGTGTTTTTCTCTTAAGATGTTTCCTTTCCTTATTCCTCCACTATCTCTTCCCTAATTACCCTACCCCACCCTTTGACCAATTCCAGATTGTAATATCTGGAAGAAAAACACACTTTTGCTATCAATCCTTTCTCAGGAGGAAGTTACATTCCATGTAACTAAGTAACCATCTGACTGCTTTAATCCCTTAAAGACCTGGTGGAAACCCCTCACACATTAACTTATCAGCTTCAATTTTTTGTACCACATTCTTAGCCATCTATTTGTTTTCTAATGTAAATCTACTACTTCAATAATGAGATTATTTTTACAGAAAAAAAAAAAACCCAAAAGGAGAGATCTATTGACCAGGAAATAAATAGCAACTTACTTCCAGAAGTTTAATCTTCCACCATTATAGCAATCATTTAGAATAGTGTTGATCCCACCTTGAATCACTGTAGCCTGTATAATTACAGATGCAAATCCAGCCACCATGATCCCAACTTGAAAAACATCTGTCCAGATAACAGCTTTAAGACCACCCTTTGAGGAAAAAGTATATTAGGATTAATGCTCTGCTCTTATCAGACATTATTAATCATCTACATGGTTATATACTATGCTGGACAAAAGTAATGAAAACACAGATCTTGGCTAAGGAATAGACTCAAGGTGGTAGATAGTAAGGTTGGGAGAACCTTCAAGAGAAGGTGTGATTTAAGCCAAGCTTTCAGATAGAAGCAGAGGCAAAAATGGAAGGTCATCCCAGAAGAGAAAACAGCATGGGCAAAAGCATAAAGAAGTCAAAGTCCATGACATGTTGAGTGTGGCCAGATATACATTTTGGAGCAAAATGAAATGGTAGAGGGAGATTACTGGGAAGAAAATCCAGAGTAAAATTGCAAAAGGCAAAATAATCATAGATTTTATCCTATTGGCAGGGCTGCTATTCAATCAAGTATGCACATAGAAGGTCATACCAGTTGTGGAAATACTAAAATTGTTTTGTACTAGCCACTGCCAAAAACTTCCCAAGTGTCTCCCTCCAGGTCCTATGTCCTTGGCTGAACCATCCCCTCCCTGAGATCCCCATCTTCTAAAAAATCCACTAAAGTCTTAAGACCTAGTATGTCTGATATGCCCTAAAAGTTGCACAACTGCTAGGGACTAGCATCCATAATAATATCAGTGTCCATAGTATCTGGTTGTTACATATTTTGACTGTGATTCCTGCCTATAGGCAAATGGGAAGTTAGGTTTCTAAGCTGAGGAATAATATGAATGCAAATATAATAATTTAGCAATAGTAAGGATGAATTAGGAGATAACACTGAGGACCACTGCAATGGTTCATCTAAAAGAAAAAAGTTTCAGTTATGATCAATGTTCTATAAAGAATCAAATTTTTCCCTAGATGGAATATTTCTTATAAAAAGTTACACTGTGGGAGGTAGGAGTAGGAGAGGACATATGAACAACCTAGTTTGCAGAACACAACTATTGGAATTTTCAACTTTGGAAAATAGTTGGTAGAGTAAAGAAGAGATAATATTCTTGACATACCAGTGTGCAGTAGAATGTACAGACCACCCCTGTTGCCACTACTGCGCCCCATAGATCAAATCCTGTGACTGTAAAAAGAAAAAAAGAAAAGAAAATGCATGCATAACTGTGAAACATGTATAATAAAAATATTTCTCAAAAAATCATCGGTAGGAAGCTATATCATTTATGGGGCACTATCTTTCTACATGCCTCTCTACTCTTGCCTAGAACTAGGTCCAAATCTCATAAAATGCCCCCAAACAAATTTACTTGATAAGTTAAATGGAACTGGTTTTTACCCTCAGAGAGCATACCTAGATCCAACATTGCCTAAATTAAATACATGAAAAAGCATTTATATTGTAATGAAGCTAAGAAACAACTTGATACTGTGAGGTAGTTATCCAGACTGAATGGGGTCATAGATTATGTGTCATCATGGTTCAAATAAACACACTATTCTACCAGTCCTTGAAAGACAAGTTGTGCATGTTACTAAAATGAAACCAAGAAAGAGAAAAGTTGTATAATTTGCTACCATTTATCTAAGAAGTGGAGGGGCATATTATATTCTTTTTAAATGGAAAGATAACAACTCTACCCACATATGTGATAATCTATATAAAATGGACCAATTCCTTGAAAGACAAAATAGGCCAAGACACTCATGCAAGAAGAAATAGATTATCTAAATAGGCCTATATCTATTAAAGAAATTGAATCAATAATTAAAAACCTTCCAAAACAGAAAGCTCTAGGCCCAGATGGGTTGACTGGTAATTTCCACCAATTTAAGGAAAAATTGTACCAATCCTCTGCAATCTCTTTCAGAGAATAGAAGGAGAGGGAATACTTCCCAACTCATTCTGTGAAGCCAGGATTGCTCTAATACCAAAAGCAGATAAAGACATTACAAGAAAACTACAAACAAATATTTCTCATGAACACAAACAAAAATCCTCAACAAATTGAAGATTAGCAAATTGAACCCAAAAGAGTATAAAAAGAATTATACACCATGACCAAGAGGGATTTATCCCGGGTATGCAAGGCTGGATCAAAATTTAAAAATCAATTAATGGAATCTATCATATTAACACACTAAAAAAGAAATATCACATGATCATATCAAAAGATGCAGAAAAAGCATTTGACAAAAGGCAACATCCATTCATCACAAAAACTCTCAGTTAACTAGGAATAGAGGGGAACTTTCTCAACTTGATAGACTGTCTACAAAAATCCTACAGCTAACATCCTACTTAAGACTGAGAGACTCAAAGCCTTCCCACTGAGATCAGGTCCAAGACAAGGATGTTCCCTCTCACTGCTCCTTCTTAACATTGTACTGGAAGTCTTTGCTAATGCAATAAGGCAAGAAAGGAAATAAAAGGTATACAGACTGGGAAAGAAGAAATAAAATTCTCTTTTGTTCACAGATGACATGATCATTGATGTAAAAAAAAAACTGGAACTAGTAAGCGTGATTACAGCAAGGTTGTAGGATACAAGGTTAATGTACAAAAGTCAATTGTTTTCCTATATAATAAATTAGCCCCAAATGTGAGTGACATAATTGGTAACTTTAAGATGTACCTTGATTCAAAGCCAGGGCAGAAGCACAACTGGAGTAACTTGGACATGCATACATTGTGGAGTGGGCATGTAAAATGGTACAACCATTTAGAAGAATTATTTTCCAGTTTCTCTTAAATTTTGTACATGTATCTGCCCTGTACTGGGCTATAATAGGTGTTATGTTTAACTACACTGCTTCCAGGTATTTACCTAATAGAGATAAAAATATGTGTCAAAAGCAAATCCTTAGACACATGCTATCAGGATCTACAGGATTATCATACTTGGTCTTGGTATTGACGAAGATGACACTACTGCTCATGATAACAATGTTGTCATAGCCGAAGAGATGCTGTCCCTCAAAGGGGATGACAACACATCGTGCGTGGAAAAAGTAGACTAAGTGCTGTCCCAAGAATTATTTGTACATGTATTCAATACTTTATCTTTATTAAGATAAAGATACTTTATCTTAATCCTGGTAATATATTTTCAAGAATGTTTTTCTTTATTTTTGTTAACATTTTAAAAATCTATATGACATGACAAGAACTATTTAAGGGGAAGATAAGACTTCTTTCTGAGTGTGATGCTGTGGTATTTAGGAACTAAAGCCCAGCTAATTTTTTGTTCCTAGTTCCACATTGGCTTATTTTTTTTTACTTTTTTTCTTTAAATTTTTTTTTT